CATTAACCTGTATAGAAATATTTTGTTAGATCATATTACACTTGATACAGTCTCTGCTTCCACTTCAAATCAATCTCTCTGGGCTCCTTTGATCGGTTCCATCACATAGCCATGATGGGAGACCGTTGATGTTGTCCTGCGGGATGATGTGGGTGGGGGGGTGAAGGGTATGAGTTTGGAGTATCCGGATGTTCCCTGGGGGTGGGTTCACTAGGGATGTCTGGGACTGGGGGGCCGTTGCCCCCCTCTGGAGGTGCTTGGGTTGCCTCGGGGGGTGGACTACTGGCGGTTGTGAGTGGGGCCCCTTGGAGGTCTTGGCGGCGGCCATGGGTCACTGCCTGGCATAGGACCTTGGGGGGTGGACAAGTCAGGGAGTGCGGGTATGGACCCCATTTCCGCATTCCTGTGGCAGCCTGCCCCCCAATTTTATTTGAACCTTATACACTTCCACCGACGACATTCCACGCAAACATACACTTAGGGCCTTGGGAGTGAGCACATTCAACGGCACTTGGCAGGGGGATTTCTCAGCCTCCTCCCGAGTGCCGGTGCCCACTTCCAATTTTAAACTGCACTTAGACACCGAGGGCTGTGGGTGCAAGTGGGGTGGTGAGGTGGCATCAGCTGGCATAGGCCAGACAATGCCCGCACTGCCCACTCACCACAGTCATGGAATACACCTCATCAACACCCAACACTATATTGGAGCAGGTGGAGGGAGACTAGGGGTCTTAGCACACCTCTGTTGTTGCTTGGCTTCCTGGGGCTGGAGGATAGGAAGGAGATCCGGCCGTCTGGTTGGGGTCTGGGGTGGTGGGTTGCTGTGCTCAGCGTTGGGTGGGGGAGCCTGCTCATCAGCACCCCAGCAGAAAGGGTCAAACTCTGGTTACCAGTGATGGTTGTACCCCATGTGCAGCAATACCGGGACCAGAGTGAATAGGGTGTGTATGGGGAGCATGAGTGGGTGTCCGGCGTGCATTTTGGTAAGTCTTTGGTTGCATGTGCATGTGTGAGCATGAGGGAGGGAGTGTGTGACTGTGTTTGTGTATGACTGTATATGTCAGGTGGGGCCTTTGACTCCTCTCCTCTCCTGGGACTTCTTTTGATGATATAGACCTTTGTCTCCCCTCCCCCTGCCACACCTGGTGTGGGGTGTGGTGCCTTGGTCTGCCTGAGTGTTCGTGGCTCCCAGGTCAGGGGGTTTAAGATTTTTGACGTCTGCCTGATCAATCCCGGTGGCGGCCTGGTGGGGTCTGGGTCCCTGGGCTCTGCTGGGTCCCCGGAGGGGGTGGTCGTCCCTGGGTCCCGGGCTTGGATGGCTAGGGGGTGGGAGGCTGCGGGCGGGCCTGTGGGCAGGCCTGTGGGCTTGCCGCTGATGTCTCCCGGGACTCTGCCGGCTGCTGGTTGTGGCCTCCCGGGGCGATCCTCTGTGCCTCTCGAGAGGGGCGGGGGCCTTTCTGGTTGCAGTCTCCTTGGGGTTCCTGTGTTCTGGGGCAGCGCCTGGATCTCTGGGACTTGGAGCTCCCTCCATCTCCTGCACACCTTTAGGGGGCAGATCTGTGGTCCCTCACACTCTCTATTGGACGCTCCTATAGAGAAACCTTACATAAGCAAGCGCGTGTACACACACAGGCGCTCACATGGTGCTCTCAAAAGTATGGGCTTGGGCACGTTCAACACAGGTCTTAAGACTATGGTGGGCACTTAATGCACTGTGATTTATTATCGTGTGACTGTTCAGTGAAACGATGTTGATTATATATTTCTTCATCAAGTTGACGCAGTGATAGCTTGATCTTGTTGTATTGTTGTGTCCCATTTTTTTGTTTGTTTTTTTGCCTTTTTTCTTGTCTCTTTCTGCAGGTCTAGAAGCAGACTCTTGTTCATTATTGTTTATTTTTGTTGATCCCCCCCACCCCCTTCCCCCCTCTCCCCACCTTTTGTCTTTTCCTTTCTCTTTCACCTCTGACTCCGTGTCTGGTCGGAATTACAAAGCATTCAAAAACAATAACAATAAAGTTTTAAGTATCAGGCGTGACATTAAAAGCAGATGCTTTGATGCTCCACCTGAGAGTAAATCTGTACGGCTTGTTACCAGCATTCAGACATCAATTCTGTTTGCTTCACAGCCAGACAGGACACGGTAGAGAAAAAAAAAAGAAAATGAGTGTGAGAAATCATCTCCAACACTTTTATTGGTCAATTATAGCTGGCAGCCATAATCGAGGCCTGACATGTGTGTACAACTAACCACGCCTAAAAGCAAAACTCAGAACTATTAAATTAATGTGAGAGGCTTTTGTAGAAAACACATCATTCAAAACACAATATAAAGCAAATTACAAACAAGTTACATCACATAACTAATACAGCAGTCTTGTCATCATGTCTTCAAGCCAACTCATAACAAACTGCCTGTTGTCACATTTTAAATTCCACCCTGTGTCCTAAAATCTAAATTCATCTCTGAACATTTATATGGAGGCCTGTTAGTGCCACTCGGAAAAAAACTGGAACAAAAGGAGTATTACTTCCCAGATTAGAGATTAAAGTCAAAACGCCAAGATTGAAGTTTAACTCCGGGAGTAAAGATAAAATATTAAAGATTAAAAGAGATATATTTTTTTAAATTTTAGAATAAAATCCAAATGATTTTTCTTAGGGATGGCCGATATTGTTTATTTTTTACCGGTTTCCGATGCACCAATATAGTCTTAAATTCTGATACCAATATAAAACAGTTGGGTAAAAAATCATGCGGATATTTTCCAGTATTACATTTTAATGCCAATATCGGTCGATGTTAATGGTAGACTGATAACATCAAAAATATTTCTGGAAATAAATAAAATAACACAAGCAGAAATCCTAGAGTTAAGCACAAGTCATATTAAAAAAAACATAACCTTATATTTAGAAATTTTTAATTTATATTTAGAATATTTTCAAAAAGTGTACAGTTTTAAAGTGTGTACAGTTAAATACATGAATTTGCAGAATCAAGTCAGATTTGAAGGAAAACTGGATTAAAACTGTAGAAGTAGCAAAAGATTTAGCTCTGTTGAAGATTGGCCTGGTTAGGTTCAGGCCCGGTCAATCATAGTGCTCAATGTTTGTAGAGTGACGTTGGGCGGGATTAGTGCCAGAGTCACAATGGAGAAAAACTACATAGATGGCACTGGTTTGAAACGACTTTGGCATCAACATTGCATGATTTAGACTTGAACTTTTCTTTGAGACTCGAGTAGAAAGAGATGCTCCAGTCCTTTAGAAACAGGATGTACTCTTCTTCGTCTTCCTAGGTGTATGGAGGACTGCCCCGCTGATTGATTTCCATAGTGAGGTTGCTCTGATTGGTCCTAGCAGGCCAGCTGCAGCCACACCTGGGCCCAGGATGAGATAACATTAAACTGACATTATGAAAATAGATTTCGTAATTCTGAGGTGGTTTTTTACTTCTCCGTGTCTCCGCTGCTTTTTCACTTGTTGGCGCTTTTGTTTAAGTCACTGGGTGAGAGAAAACACCCACTAGCATTTCCTTTGACTGGTTGAAGTAATAAACTTGGCTAAAATCCACTTTGGATATTTTTTTTAAAGAAATTACAACATAACTTAGAATTTTACAGATTTTTTACAAGATCGGCCATTGCTTTTTAGACAGATTTTTTGAGCATCATTTGTTTTTTTATTTTTGCATTTAGCAATGTTTGAGTTCCACCTTCTCTAAGCAGAAATGGGTGCAAACCGCCTCCAAGGCCCAGAAAAGATCCGACTCTGAGCAGCATGACTCCCAGAATGTGTGGGATTCAAATGCAGCAGATATGCGTAGTGGGAGTTTTCAGGTCCTAAGAAAGAGTTGCTCTGAATGCTGAGTGACTTCACCCAGATTTTCAGAACTAAACTTGACTTTAGCTCCGGGATTTCTGGGCAACAAAAACAGCATTTGACACCAAAAAAAAAAAAAAAAAATTCTATTGATTTATAACAAAAAAGAAGAAAAGAACATTTTACCTCTGATTTTGAATAGAATATGCTATGTCATGCTAATAAGTAGAAACATATTAATATTCGATGAATACGTTTCACCTTCCTTTGAGCACAGACTGATAGCTAGGAAATTTGAATGGATGCCGGCTTTTAGAAAAACCTCTGCTGATTGTTTGCTTGCTTCAGCTAACCCCATAAGTTGTTCAGCATGCAACAGCTGATAGATGTTAGTTTTGTTAATGGATTTGTTAAAGTCAGATTTGATTACGGCCACTTTGACAAAGAGCAACAATTAGCACCGTGCTCCGATTGGAAGAGATCTGTAACTTTAAATTCTCTGAGATTCCATTTAAATTAAAACAGAAAGCCAGGGTCTGAGGTACATGTGATGTGTTTTGTGCAATTCATGGGAATGGGTCCATTCTAGCTACAAACTACAGGAAGTTTTATGGAGCTCCATAGATATAATTCTACTGTTATTATATATTTATTGTTTACCTTTTAATTCTAGTTCATAAACTACTGGATATTCAAAAATAAAGTTTTAGCTGCAAAGAAATTACAAATGCAAATCAAACAGAAGCTCAGATCTCAGAAGGTTAAAGTTAAGATCATTTAACTTTTAGATGTCATTAAGAAACCATGACCTTTATAGTCCCAAAGGCTTTTATGATCTCGCGAGTCCAACAAGGACGACAGTGGAGAAGCCGCTTCGCAGCTGAGAATCCCCCGGTGTGAATTGACGCGCTGCAAAGCAGGTGAGTAAACCGTCCCACTGCCGTTCCTCCCCCAGTGTAGACCTGGCATCAGAATGTAAAATCTCAAGCTATCGGGATACTTAGAATACACATTGGTGAGAAATATTAATAAAAAAGGACACGTTTGTGAACGGGATGCACAGAATTTGATAGTGAACAAGTAGAAACATTACACACTGTGCCTTTAAGAAACCACTCCACAAATGTTTGTATGTTTATTAGAATATAAAGAAAGGTAAAGAAAATCCTACTCACTTTTTAAAGTGGGGCTGACAGGGGAGAAGGTGATGCCACACCATCTGATCTCTTCTTCCTCCCAACAAGACTCGTCCAAAGTCCCAAGACAGCGTCCTTTGAGGACTCTGAGGATCTTTAGTCCATAAACTCTTGGACACTGAAGTGCTACAGGAGTGTGTTCTCACTTTTTATAGCACCGTGAGGCTCTTTCTTTAGATTTCAGCTTTGATGTAGATTGGTTGGCACTTCTGACTCCTGATCTGCTCCCTGTGGAGAGAGAGAGTGACAGAAAAGTCATGCAGGATCACTTGTGAGCATCAGTGTCAATCAAGTGTTTTGATGAAACTTTAACCACATTACAGTTCTGTGTGCACCATCGAAGTCTTTCATTTTCTGTCTTTATAACTTCTGTCTTGTTTGGTTTTCAATTATTAGGTTACAGATTTTCTGACAACATCAGATTTAGCAAAATAAGTAACTTAGCTCAGCATCCGATTAAAGCATCTCCACACTAAACATGTTTTACTTTAGAGAATGTAATCACATCAGAAGATCTGAAAATTCCTCCTTTTATTTCCACCTAAAATGATTTTAAAACATTTTTGCCGCAGCTCTGTGTCTCAGAGTATTTAATCAATGTTCATTGTGTCAATATTGAAAATGACGTTGTTGTGACACGAGACAGCATGCCATCTGCCAGCATGACCAACTCTACCAGTCAGGAAACTAAGACCCAGCTGATTATCTGATTTAGCGTTTCCTTTCTTTTACTCCTAATTCTGGAAAATCCCGTGTGATTTTTACTCATTTTCAGCCAATTAAGCCAAAATCCTTTTAGGATTCTGTTTAAAAATAGTTTATTATGGAGCCAATAATTAATAGTTTGGTAACAATTTAGTTTAGGGATCACAAATCAACCAATAATTAGCTGCCAATTAATATGCATATTAGTGGACTACTAAGTCTGAACTAGTCACTATTGACCACTTAATAACAGCGTATTACTAATGCCATAATTCTAATATTAACTGGCCATAAATTAAGAGTTTTATCAAAAGAAGCCATTCATAATGGTTTGTTAACTGAAAGTAATTGGTTTGTTGCTGATTAACACACATACTAAGTAAAACAAATCAATATGTGGCTTTTAAAGAAGTAATTCAGGGGTAACATATTCTTGCCTTTAAGTGGTTAATTATTAGTCGACTACTATTAATTAGGTATGAACAAAATCTGACTTTAGAATGGGGATCATATTATTGCTTACAAGTGGTTAATTGATTGTTGTTTAGGCTCTATTAACATGTGGAGTTTGGTGTTTATTTACATAATACCAGAACATAATATTTTTGGTTATTATTGCAGAATAACTATTCCCCCTGAATTACTTCTTTAAAAGCCACATATTGATTTGAGTTAATTAGTGTGTGCGTTAATCAGCAACAAACCATTTACTTTGAGTTAACAAACCATGATGAATGGCTTATTTTGATAAAACTCTTAATTTATGGCCTGTTAATATTAGAATTACAGCATTGGCAATAAGCACCTATTAATAGCTTAATAATGACTAATTCAGACTTAGTAGTCCACTAATGTGCATATTAATTGGCAGCTAATTAATGGTTAATTTGTGTTTCCTAAAGTGTTAACAATAGTTTTATGTATTTTACTCTAAAGAATGTAAAGGAAATCTAATGAATATTAGAAAATTTCTTGGTCTGGCTAAATAAAAACACTAGAACAACAAAAACATTGCCTTCCAAACTGGCATCAGAACAAAAAAAAAGCAAAAATGATTAACACTTCCTGTTTGTAAGTGATTCATAGGCGGCTACTGGAATATTTTCTATATTTTTTTCAAATACACAATAAACATTTCATCAGCTGGCATAAATATTGAGAGTATTTTGTTTTTACAAACAAATCCACATTTTCTCAGAGTGAAAAACAGGAAACTATCCTGGGGGTGATCTCTTCCACCTGGCAAAGGGTGAAAGACCGGTGATCATGGTTCTGTCTTTCTGTGATTGTGTCTCAGAGACAAAAGTTTGAATTTTAAATAAAATTTTCACTGGACGTTCATCCACAACTTAACAAACTTTGAAGTCAGCTCCATTAAACATGGCCGCCACAGCTAGCCAAACTTAGCAAACACAGAAATGACAGAGCATCACTCACAACAAAAACAGATGAGTCAGTCAAACCAGCAATCCTCTTCGAGGGAAGATCTGAAATTAAGTCTGTGATCAGTGACATGAACTTCTGCAGGAAATACAGTTATGATATGAAAAATCTTTACCCCAAATGCTCCTAAAATTACTTTAAAATGAAATCATGTAATCTAAGTTGTTGGTATTATGGCCCAGAAGCATGTCAGGAAGTCAGTCAGTCTTTAGTGATTTCAACTGAGCCGATGTAAAACCCTTTTATTCCTGAGGTAGTGTAATTGGAGTACATGAAAATCTCCGGTTATCATATGAAGATTGATTTTACTTTAATAAGTCAAAGTCCCATAGTCATCATCACACACTGGTGAAAGTCATCTCCACATTTGACCCGTCCCCGTGGGGAGAGGTGAGCTGTAGCTGTGGCTGCGCTCACAAAATATTTGGTGATTTAAGCCACCAATCCAACCTCTGAACCAATTTTGAAGTCTTTGGTATGACCTGACCCAGATTTGAACCCCAATCTCCCAGTCCCAGGTCGGACATTTTCATTATTATTATTATTATTAGTAGTAGTAGTAGTAGTAGTAGTAGTAGTAGTAGTAGTAGTAGTAGTGGTAGTAGTAGTAGTAGTAGTAGTAGTAGTAGTAGTAGTAGTAGTAGTAGTAGTAGTACTATATTGTGCAAAATCATCTTCAAAAAATCTGACTGAATGGGATCCAACTGTTTTAAGGGTTATACCAAACATATATTCTAGTGATTATTCTTGAGAAATGTAAATCTAAATTAAAATATGTCCAGAATAAAGTCATTAGTTGGAACAATAGTTTGTGTTTGGTCACTGCAGCTAATTAAATTTCCTTTAAGCTATTTACTTAATCAAAAACACCTTCCATAGAAGAGCTAAAGCAGTTAAAAGAGCTTTAAAGATGTGGTTCACTTATCAATACTTTTGCTGTGGTCTTTAGTAGGAATGAATGCCTTGTAAGTCAAACTCGGGGAATAAAACGCTCAGATGTGTCTGTTTCAGGAACTAGCAGAATGCCCCATCACAGTACAGCTTAACACGTTAGGATTTGGAGTCTTACTTCCTGATTTGGAGTCCATGAATGTTAAGTGACAGTGTGACATAAATTCAATTCAATTCAACTCAAATTCAAAAATACTTTATTAATCCCAGACGGAAATTGATTGCTGTAGTAGCTCATAATAATAATAATCAAGTCGTCAAAGAGTTCTTGTATATTACAATGGCAGTTGGCAGGAAGGATCTCCAGTAGCGGTCAGTGTTGGATAAATTATGGATACATTATTTTAAACGAAACTCATCCAGCTTATTCTTCCCTGGCAACAGACAGGCGCTTGACCTTGCCTCTTCCCAGTCCTAGCTTATCAGTAAGAATGCCCTGTGCCAGCGCATGCTTGTCTCCCTAAATGTGTGTGCGTTTTATCATTTCTGTGTGTCTTTTAAGAAATACACTTGAGAGGGCTTTGGTCCGACGAGAGAGCAAAGAGACCACCGACTCGTGCGTATCATTTTATCTCTCCACTTTAAAAGTCTAAATGGTTTATTGTTAATAAAATTAATATGGGTTAAATTGATCAGCTTGATAATAAAACCCCCTGCGTGGAGAGCTTTCCCTTCAGGTAACCCTGGATGGGAAAATGAAAATACCTAACAGTCAGTCTTGCAGCGAAACTGAAGAAGCCTCTGACTGAAGACACTCTTCCGTTGTCGGACAGTCTTGTGAAGCGAATGCTCAGGGTTGTACATAAATTTCTTGATTCTCTGGAGAATCCTTCTTTGCATTATCTCCTCCAGTGGTTCCACAGTCGTCCCCAGAACAGAACCAACCTTTTTTATTAGGCTGTCGAGCCTTTTCAGGTCCCTGCTTCTGATGCTACTACCCAACAGACGATGGCTGAAGAGATTACACTCTCAACAACAGACTTGTAGAAGATCTGCAGCATCTTGCTACAGACATTGAAGGACCTAAGCATCCTCAAGAAGTGCAGTCTGCTGTGTCCCTTCTTGTAAACGGCGTCGCTGTTCTTTCTCCAGTCCAGTCTCCAGGTGAACTCCAAGGTATTTGTATTCCTCAACCACCTCCACTTCTTCTCCCATGATGGAAACAGTGTTTGACTCCACCCCGTTTCTTCTGAAGTCTAAAATCATCTCCTTTGTTTTGTTCACGTTCAAGGTCAGATGATTGTTTCCACACCATGCCACAAAGCGCTCCACCAGCTCTCTGTACTCAGCTTCCTGTCCATCTCTGATACACCCGACGACTGCAGAGTCATCTGAGTATTTCTGTAGATGACAGGTCTCTGATTTGTACTGGAAGTCTGAGGTGTACAGGGTGAAAAAGAATGGTGAGAGTATAGTCCCCTGTGGTGCTCCAATGTTACTGATCACCTGGTTTGATGTGAAATATGTCAGTTTCACAATCTATTTTCTATCAGAAGCTAATGCAGGAGATAGATGTAGGAGATGATTTTCATGTTCAGCCTGCATGAAAAACTGAGTGACTGATAATAATCAAAAATAATCAACAGAATATGGTTTTTCAGTGTTCCACACCTTTACATTTAAAATAACGACAATGAGTATACACGCACATGTTAAAATAGTTAAAAGATTTAGTAAAACTGAACTGAAAGAAATGATGAGCAAAAATATCTAACAAGTCAAAAAATATCTATCAAGTCACAAAAATATCTAACAAGTCACATTATTTTTAAAGTACTAGTTAAAAGCTAAAATAAAACTGTGTGCCTTAAGCTTCCCTTTAATGATATAAAGTAATGTGATCCAGAAGGTTTATGTCTGTAGAGAGAGCTTAATACATAAGGAGAAGGTTTTGAAATCTAATTCTAATTCTAAAAGTAACAGGAAGCCAGTGAAAGCAGCTATAAGCTCCCTTCTTTTGGATATTTTAGTCTGGCTGCAGATTTTTGAATAAGTTCAAATCCATTAATGGCTCTTTTTGAGAGACCAGTATTACAGCAAGTATTTAACACCAGTAAAGTCCAGTTCAAAAAAAGACCTGAATCTGCTCTTGTGCATCTCTCAGAATAACAAATCATTTCATTTAGTAATTTTTCTACATTTAAAAGTTTTTAAAAGTTAATTCACATGAAACTTTGGAAGTTAAGTTGTGAGCCACTTTCACGAATCCAGCTGCAGATGTGAAACAGCAGGCCTAATTTCCCTGCTGCACCATGTTTGTTACATGTCTCTGCGTTTCTGAAACCCCCCTCACAACTGTGTCACACCCTCCGAGGGAGCTGTGCCGCTCTGTGTGAAAACCTCTGATGCAGATTAATACTTAGCACAGATGTGAGGTGCAGATGAAACCCCGCGTTAGGAGTCGCCACTGAACTGGAACTTCCACAGTGGTTATCAGCTCTCTGTGCGCTAGGCAGACGGCACACTTCAGCTCAGATTTAATGCCAGCTCTTCACGATCAGTTGCATAGATGAGCTGTGATTAAACAATGCTTTGTGTCGATGTGGCAGAACGGCGTATACCGAGTCAAGTCAAGCTGACACACGGGGGAAATGAAAAGCTGCGTTAGTGAGGAGTCATATTTAGCTTTCCTCAGAAAACAGCCACAAACCAGGATGTGATCAATGAGGACAGACGTTGTTTAATTAGAATAACAACAGGGAGGTTTGTTATCATTCACAGGAAGATGCCAAATGCTGATGCTCAACTTACTTTACTTTAGTTTTCTCTGCAGGTATTTTTCATGTAATTAGATGCTTTTTGATGGCAAAAAACTGAAAAGGTCTGAGTCTCTTTCCCAGCTTTTAGAAAACAATGTTTCATGTATCCCAAAGCAAGTCAGTATCATCCTCTCTACGGAGGATGGACATGGCCAGCACGTCCTTTTTCTGTCTGCACTAAACCTCTCATCTCTGTCACCACATCCCATAATTCCCCCATCATTACTCTGACAATAAACTGACCTTTTGATTCCCAGCTCTGACACACATGTTGAGTTGCATATCTCCAATTTTCACGCTGAAATCTCCAATTGGATTGCTGCCAAACATCTCCCAATTGACCTTGACAAGGCAGAGATGCTGTTCTCCCCTCAGAAATCCTACCCTTAACAAGAGCCGTCAATCACAGTGACACCCGCACAGTTTCTCCTTCCCACAGCCACGTTCTGTTTGATCTCAGAAACCAGCTGCTGCAGCTGCAATTGCAGATTTGCTGTGTGTGAAATCTGCTGACTCAGGTCCACAAATACTCTTTGTCTCCCATCTGGACTGCAGCAGCTCCAATGTGGCTGAGCAACCTGAAATAAAATTGAAATCACTGCAACACAGTTGTCAAGTTAAACCTCACCAAATGTGTAGTGCATGTCCTCCAACTCTGATAAGCACGAGGGTGTAGTACTTATAGTCAGAACTTATGCAGTTAAAAAGATTTTATTACCTATTTATACTTGTAATATGTGAAAAAGAAAAACACATCTTTTTTGTAAATCTCTGCATCTTTAAACTCCCAATTCTGCAGTTCATCCATTTATTACCTTAAGACTGAATTACTGTAATGCATTAGTATCAGGAAGTCCACAGAATGAGTTAAAAGTCTTCAGCTTGTCCAAAATGCTGCAGCTAGAGTTCTGATGAGAATTAAAAAGAGAGATCATATCTCACCTGTCTTAGCTTCCCTACATTGGCTACCTGTTAAATTCAGAATAGATTTTAGGATCTTTCTTCTCACATATAAAGCTCTTAATAATCAAGCTCCATCATACATCAGTGACCTGATTGTTCCATACGTTGCTAACCGAGCATTTTGCTCTCAGACTGCAGGTTTACTGGTGGTTCCCAGAATATCTAAAATTAGGATGGGAGGCAGATGTTTTAGTTATCAGGCTCCTCTCCTGTGGAACCAGCTCCCAGCTTTAGTCCATGAGGCAGACACCTTGTCTAATTTTAAGACTAGGCTTAAAACATTTTTATATGATAGGGCCTATGGTTAAAATCTGATGTTAGCCTAAATCTGGACAAGTGAGGGAGTAGAGGGAGGTGGAGTGTACAGTCGG